TCCCTAACAACTATTACACTTTTTTGATATGCTGACTTAAAAGTGAGAACTATAGGTGCAAGTATGAACAGAGGAGGATGCAAGTCTTCAGCAAAGTGTAGGGGCCTGGATTGTACATATTTGTGTAGTAGTTAGGATAGGTAGAAACGAGCAGTGTTATGAAAAGATTTGTAAGTGAGGACAGGAATTTTAAAATGAACCCCATAACATATGATAAGAACTGACAGAGGGCCGCAGAATTCATATAGCCTGTAGAACGGAAAGCTGGGAATGTGTAAGAACAGGGAGAAGTGGATTGCAATAGTCATGGTAGGGGGTGAAAGCAACACCTTAGCCACAACTTGTTTGGTAGAGATAGATGCCTGCTATTTTATAAGATAGAAGCAACATGATTTTGAAATAGTTTTGGTGTGAGGGGTGATTTAGAAGTTGAAATTGAAGAGAATGCCAAGGCAGCGAACCTGTGAGGTAGAGCTGATGGTAGTGTCATTAGCATGGAAGTAGATGCATACAGAAGTAGCACTGCTTGAAGGAGGAACAGCAAGATGTTTGGAGAGATTGTGAGATTTGGAGAGATTTGGAGAGATTGTGTTTAAAGAAATGAGCTGCCATCCAATTACAAATTACAGATAGGTAGTTGAAGACATGTTTCAAGAGGGACAGAGATTGGTTGAAAGATCATGAGAAAATAGATAGACTTGTGTGCCATCAGCAGTGAAGTGCTATTTAAAGTCAAATGAACTGATTAGTTTACAAGGGAGACAGCTAGATTAAAACTAGAAGGGGGGCCAAGGACAAATACTTGAAGGAACACCCACAGAGATGGGTTGCAAGGAAATGAAAAATGAGAAAAGGAGACACCGAATGATCTGTGGGAGAGGTAAGAGAAGAACCAGGATGGAGGAAAGTATTGTAGACTGAGGTTGTGAAGGATGAGAAGAAACGATGAACAATGGAGTAATACGTTTGGAATTAAGACTGAGGCAGAGAGTTTGATTTCTACACAACTCTCTCAAAGATCTTGGAGGCAAATGGTAGTAAGGACATAGGGAGTTAGTTGGATTGGGAGTATGGGTTGAAGGTAGGTTTTTTTCAGAATTGAAGTTACAGTTGCATGCTTGAAGCTTGCAGATAATACACCAGAGGAGAGGGGAAGTGAGAGCAGAGCAAGTGAATGAGACATATAAGTGGAGCAGACATCTTTTCTTATGTAGTGGGTATAAATGAGCATAGGATAGAGAAGGAAATGGGCTGGGGAGGTATTAGTAGGGGCAGGAGAGAGATTTGAGATCTCTTCCTTGATTGCATCAATCTTCTCAGTGAAGTGAGTTGCAAAGTTTTCAACAATTGGGTTAGTAGGGGGAGGAATGACAACAAGGTGAAGGAGAGTGCTTGAAGTGTGTAACAAGTGTTTGGATTCTCTGAATATTGTGATCATAAGGTTATTGAAGTAGGTGTTTTTATTTATAGACTGCATGAGCATAGCATGAATTTATAGTGAAGAATATTAGATGCAGAATGAGTCTTTCTCAGCAGTTCTGGAGGTACTGGGTTAGCGTAATATGCCAAGGTTGCAACTGTGTAGAAAGTGTAGAAACGTCCATACACTCCAACTTACTACAGTAAGACAGTTACCCAGAGTGACAGAGTTGTGGTGTTAGTTCCAAGTGCAGAAAGTAACTTTCTGGCTCGTTGGCAATCTTAGAAAAGATTATCTATGTTGGCTATAAAATTAGTCAGCCTGGGGGGGCCAGGCCGCCAAGCTGAATGGAAGCAGAGCACCATGACTCCGGGCCTGAGTCCCAGAAAATGGCTTTAAACGCATATGCAGACTGCCCCAAACCCGGATTATTTCACATAACGTTATGGAGAATCATCCTAGCTTCAAATTGGTACCAGATAGAGACAATATATGAACCGGGAGCATAGACACAGGCAACCTCTGAGTGAGTTATGGCAATCGGTCGCCTGACCGGGGAGAAGGCATACCAGACACCTTAGCTTCCATGGAGGACCACGCTGGCATAAGAGGCGGCCAGTCGCTGGGGTAATCCCAGCCTCGTGGAGACTGCACACTCCGAGGCGGGAGTCCTTGCATGGAGACCACGTTGCTCACCTGTACTGACAAAGGCTGCTGAAATGTGGCCCGTCTGATAGTTACTGTTGGAACACGGAGACATTCACTGCCCACATTGCTGGACCGGTACTTATCACGAGCCTGACCGCTACGTTCACACAGGCACCAGTGGATGGGACTGAGGAGGTGGAGAACTTAATCAGAAGAGATACCTCACCCTCACCCCAGCTTTTGGAACAGCTAACTACACCCTTGAATGATCGGAGATGGAGCAGAAGTGAAGACTACTCACCGTGAGGAGCTGAGTTGGACAGCTCGTGCAGACTTGGGCACTGCTAAGCGCTGGATGCATCCTCCACACTGTTTGCCTGCCCGCTGGAGAAGTGACTGCCCTGACTTTTGGGTTTAAGGGGCCCCGGAGAGCCTTGTCCCTGATGCCGTGAGCCCTGTGGGGGGGGTTTGCGAGGTCCTTCCGGTGGACCGGTGGCCGTGAATGATGTGCACCAGTCTCAAGTATGTGGTTGGCACCGGGAGAGACATGGGGGCACGCACTTCACAGGGACTTAAGTGGTGCTGGGGAGGTGCAGGGGGCGAACGGCCCGCAGACTGTAGGTGGGGGGTCCAGTGGATAGTTTCTGCTCCTGAGTGCCCACGGCGCCACGAGTTGCTCAGCCGGTGAGCTGGGGTCAGTCTGGAGACAGATGGAGGCTTGGCAACCCAGAGGATATACTGCAGCTGAACCTTGGGTGGCCCCCTTGGACGGCTATTAAGACTGGCATTGCTCCCATACTGCTTTAATCTTTCATTTGTTATATATCAATTTTTCTAGCCTACTTATTTTAAAGCTTATTAGGTGCTGTTATAATGCCAATAGCTAATATTTATCACGGATAAGCTTAACGTAACGATATATTGATATGACCGTGCAGTCCGCAGAATTTGCCCTCTTAGCCTTATGATACTTGACAAATGGCATATACGTTGTGTTTAAAACACCTAGCACCTATGTTTAGCCTAATCAGGATCCAACTAATAATCGCAGGCACACACTTAAAAGCGAACTATTAGGTTACCTGCACCCCATATTTGGTATATTTTTAAGCACGCACTATGTTTACCAGCCAACCCATGCCTGTCGTCCGTATATGATACGCACAAAATGCTACTCACATCAGTTAAAGTTCTTCATTATAACGTACGCATTCTTTCGCATTCACACACGGAGGTAATGTAACTAATATGTACCTCTTCCCTCCTAATCTGTCCCATATGATAAACTATCATGTGATGTTGGGCTCATTTTAATTTAATACTCTAGTAGGCAACGCATATTTTAGGTATAACTGCAGGCGCTTCACTGCGTAATGATACACACCTCCCATGTTAACCTTAAGTATTATATGTCTGACTTAATACAATGCACAGAGCCTTATTATTAGGATTTTCATTCCAAGCCTATATAACTAGAATAGCGGTAGTGTCTAAGCACGGCAACTAACATGGGACCCCATACTTACCATATCAAACACAAGGGGAGGGGAAGGAAAAAGAAGGGGAAAGAATACATTTAATATCACTGAACTAAGGAGAACACTGAAACCGATAACGTTTTTCATTTTATTTATATTATGAGCACTTATATAATTCTTATTCATGTGAAAGTATCTGAATGCATATACCTGACTCTGCTAGTGTAGCCCACTTGGCAGGGTTGAGAGGACACATCCTCTCGCCTAACCTTTGCTCAGGGAGCTTATAATACTAATTTTCACAGCACTATTACCAGCCAACTTATAATTGTTAACTGTAAAGAGTTCACTTTGTTACCGCTATATTGAAACCGTTGATTTGACTCGTTGCATTTGACAGCTTACTGTTGTACAATGCTTTTCCACATCTGAGCTAAGCCTCTGTGTAGGCAAACACATTCCACTTGTCATAAATGTAAAGTACTTGACTTTATGCTATGCTCACAAAAATAAAAACCATTTAAAACAAAAGCCTGACCGACGAAAGAAAGGGTAGGTTTTACATGTAAACCTCCTGAGACAATGGAAAGATAGAGAGGCATATGTAACCTAGTTGAACCATGCATGTCCCGATCCCCAGTCCTCAGAACACTCAGTGGCATTTCCACTAAGCTGACTCCTAAGCAAGTTGAGGTAATTAGGGACATGGTAGAAAGGGATAGGATGTCTTCTCCCCCATGCCATGTAGTACTTATGAAATTTTTCATGATATAGCATGACCTGGAGTGACTATTAAGCTAAAACCCTCCAGGATCCCTGAAGCAAAAATGGATGCAGAATAGAAGTCAGGAAAGTGTTAGAACTGGTGGTAGTTGATGAGTCTCTAAGTAATTGTTCTAGTCCTATTGTTTTGGTTCCCAAGTTAGATGGCTCCATTTGGTTCCATATTAACTTTAAAACACTGAATGAAGTTAGTAAATTTGATGCTTATCCTTTGCTGGTGGAGAGATTAGCAAAGGTTAGATTTCTTTCTACTCTGGTTTTAACTAAAGAATATTGACAGAGCGGGGGCGGGGTCTGACTACCGAGCGAGCAGGACGCATGTTGAAGGAGCTCCTCGGCAAATACAGAGAAATTGGCCCAAAATTTGATACCTGCTATAAAGTACCGGCTGAACCCGATCCCTGAAGGCACGGGAGAGACCGGGCACCAATTTCTACCAACCTGCTAAAAGCTTTATGAGCCCTGACAGTCATTGCGGCCTGCTGACTACCCTGAGGCGGAGGACGGGGCTGATCTCCCGCCTCACCTACAAATCGATGACGGTCCTGACCACGCTTCCCCCCCTATGGGCCGGTGGTGGTTATCACGGCCCCCACAAAGCAACAGGACACGAACAAGTGCAAAATAGCACCAAGCAACTGAATCCACAAACCGGCATGCTAGCTGCAAAGATGGCCGCCGCACGAAACCCAGACCCATGGGCCCCCCACGAGGACAACATAACAAGGGCATTTGATCGCTTTTGGATGCAATTCTGGGAGAAATTCGCCGAACAGCCACAAGGGCCATCAATCAGAGACCCAGTACAAAAGCTGCCGGCGACAAAAGCACCACAACCTGCACCACTAAGTGGCGCCGAGAGGCTGATCATAATGAAGAGGCGGAGGAAGGCACGGAACATACCACGAATCAGTACAAGCCGTCCCACTACCAAAGCTCACTCGCCTGGAACCCAGTCCACGCAGGTGAGACTGCTCTCGCACAGCTCTCAGCCTCGGATGCCGAGCACCCCACGGAGACACCGGCTGCCAGCTCACACACTCAGCGATCCAGCCCAGACCACTCACAGCACTCATGCATGAGAGACACAGTCAGGCCATATGTATCACCGGAGAGGAAGAAGCAAACCACAATGCCACCTATCAAGAGGCACACATGCATGTCCAAGGCAGAGCGGTCAACAACATACCCACAGACTGGGAATTGGGTAAGCGGGTAAGAAGACCCGGACCGCCTGCTGGTCAGCTCCGGTGATGATGCCGGCACAGACGACCCCTGAATCCTGCTACACATGACAGACTCCTGCAAATCAGCATACACTCATGGACACGGACTGCAACCATGGTCAGACAGGCACACTGCCTTAAGAGAGGGCAACATGATTCACATGATGTACTAGACATAGAGCATGCTTTAGTAAGCCACACCAGTAAATATTAGGACACAAGTACCCACTTCAAGCAGTGAACGTGACACCATGCTTATCCCTACTATAAAGGTGCATAAAATGTCAAACTTGCTGCAAGTCCATAGTCTGTCATTGTGTTTCATGCCGTGACACTTACTAGTTCACTCACCCAGTGCATAGGGGACCTATGTCAGTAAAGACAGCATGATTATTAAGCCATAGAGATTCTCCTACCTACTACCATTATGTCATTATCACTTGTTTGTCATCATAATATAATAGATGTGCAACCCTTATTACTACTATACGACTAATCTATAGCAACATAGTAACCCACTAGTTATGTTCAGCACATAATTGTCTAGTTTGTTTATGTTTAAAAATGTACATACACTCACGCCAATACTAAGCATGTATACATATATATGAACGCAACTATGGCGCATGAAAAAGCCTGTACCTAAAAATCTAAAAATGCGCACATATCGCTGCCACTGTTTAACACATTGATATGCACATGTACGCGGTTGTGGCGTTCGTCAATATTTCTGTACCCACCTGTGCAACAAAAATAAAGAATTAAAAAAAAAAAAAAGTATATTGACAGAGCATGGCAAAGAGAAAACTGCCTTTGGTATTCCAGATGGCTTGTTTCACTTTTGGGTGTTGCCCTTTGGTTTTCATGGAGCACCAGATGCTTTTCAGCCTCTACCTTCAGCTTCGAGCCCCAGTCTGTGCAATGAATCATAACATCATCAAAGTATGCAGCTGCATACTGAGAATGAGGTCTGTTTAATTTGCTGCTGAAAAGCGCCTTTAGCACTTTCAGGGATTAGATTATTTTTGGTCTGAATAAGTGGCAGCAGGGGGAAGTTCAGCACTTGTAAATTACTGGTACAATTCAAAATGGCAGCTAAATCACCAGATCTGGGGTCTCTTTTGTCTGGTAGAAGATCTGCTAAAACAGAAGGGAAGGTACAGTGCCAAAGATGTCCTTAGAGATATATGTGGCAAAAAGAGGAAAGGAAACTAATAGTGTAATACGTAAAATATGATAGAGTAAAAGAAATTAAAAGTATACACTCACACTTTTTAGGAGCTTGAATTCAGCTCCAATGTGGGCAGAATGATCCCCACCTATGGATATAGTGATATAAGTACAAATTCTGCATGTGGTTCTTGTAATGGTGGATATTCTTGTAGATATGTGGGAGAGAATCTCAGAATAAAGTGCAGTATGCCAAACTAAATAGCAGCAATAAATCAATATAAAAATATGTACTAACATTTTATGGAGCCTAAAAAATTTCTCCACAGGTATAGTGCAAAGTGGTATGATCCCACTGAAGGATACCCATATGTATAAAAAAGAGAAAATAAAACAATAGTGTACACCATAAAAGTGGACTAAGACGTTAAGATAATTTAAAATTTATTTCTCACATGTGGTAGAGCAAAGTAAGGTTTGCTTAATCCATTAGGCATAGGTGATATTATATCTACACCAAGGATGTGGTGTTCAGGAATCCAGCAGCAAACTGAAAGGCCCAATAAAAAAAAGTACAGTCTGGGGAGGCAGGATCTGTTTGACTGGCAGGAGGGAAGCACACAGCAGAGCGCTTCTCTCCAGCCAGTCAGTCACTGCATGACAGAGCCGCAGACAGCAGTAGAGGAGCTTCAAAATACTCTACCTGCTCCGGTAGGAAAGGAAGTGCTCTCATAGAGCGCAAAACTGCTTCCTCTCAGACCGGGTAAATGTTATAGAAGATCCTCTACTGCAAACTGAGGCTCAGCAGAACTACACAGGAGGGAGATGAGCTGGCAAGAGAGGGAAAGGGGAGCAGACACATAGAGTAGGAGGTGATTAGACACATGGGGTGGAAGGAGACACATGGATGTGTTTGAGGGAAATGATACACATGGGGGAGCTGGGGTTAATGAGACACACAGAGAAGCTGGGGATAATGAAACACATGGAGGGGGTGAGGGGGAGGAAACAAGACACATGGAGGTACTGGGCAGAATGAGACAGATGGAGGGGCTGGGGGAGAGAAAATGAGACACATGGAAGAGCTTTGGGATGAAATGAAACACATGAAGGGGTTTGGGAGGAAATAAGACACATGGAGGGTCTGGGAGTAATGAGATATATAGAATGTAGTGGCTGGGGGGGTAATGAGACACATGGATGGGCTGTGGGTAATGAGAACATATAATGGTGGGGCAGGCGGGTAATGAGACACAGGGAGGAGCAGGGACACACACAAAAAGACATAGAGGGGCTAGAAAGAAAGAGACAAGTTGCTGGGGGAATGAGACACACAGAGGTGATGGGAAGGGGAGAAAGAGACACCCTAAAGGGGCTGTGGAGCGAAAGAGACACACAGATGGGCTGGTGGAAGAGACACATAGGGGATAGGGAAGGAGAAAAAGAGACAGACAGGGAAGGGACAAAAGAGACAGGGGTTTGGGGGAGAGACACCTGAGGAGACACAGGGAGACAAAGAGGGGCTGGGGAAGGGGCAAAAGAGACAGACTGGGGTTAGGGAAGGGGCAAAAGAGACAGAGGAAGGCTGGGGAAGGGTAAAAGACACAGACATTGGCTGGGGCGGAGACACCAAGAGGGACTAGGGGAGGACAAAGAGACACAGAGGCGCTATGGGGAAAAAGAGACAAGGTAAGAGACACACAGAGTGACTGGGGGGTAAAGGGACATAGGGGGATGAAGAGATATGCAAAAGAGATACAAAAAAGGGGCTGAGGAGAGAAAGGGACAGAAGGGGTTGGGGAGGGGGATGAAGAGATACACAAAAGCGGCTGAGGAGAGAAAGGGACATAGAGGGGGTGAGAAAGGGGAGAAAGATATACACAAGAGGGGCTCGGTTGAAGAGGCACACAGAAGTGATGGGGAAGGAGAGAAGGAGACGCCGAGGGGCTGAGATAGAAAGAGACACACAAAGGGAAAAAATGGTTGGATAAGATATACTAAGGGAAGTGCAACCTAAAAGGGGGACATAAAAGTCAAAAGGGGGTAAGAAATCCAAGAGGAGGAATAAAGAACACGCAGGTGAGGATTTCATAGCGAAACTCTGAACAACAGACTCTAGGAACTATGACTACATCAAATCGCTGCAGTGGTTATGATGTTTGGAGTACCCATTTAAACTCAGCATATTAAGAGGGTCCCTGAAAGTTTTACATTTGTGGACTTTGTATTTGATCAATCACTGGGAAAAAAACAAGCAGCCTACTGAAGACACAAATGCACAAAGCAAACAATAAAATAAAGACTTTAAACCTGAAAGCTCAAAATCTAACCCCTTTCCCAATGTTCCTGAACTACAAGCCCATAATTATCTAGCCATTTTTTGTATTCAGATAATTCTGGCAGTTGTAGGCATCAGGAGGCCGGAGTATGAGATCCCTGCGTAAAACAAACTATAACTTTGAATCTTTAATCACTCAATATCGATTCCTGTATTGCTGAATTCCTTAGGATATTGTCCATAAACTATTACAAAAATTAGCAAGTATATAAAATCGCAGGGAGCCTGTGCTTTTAAAGCGTAACTATCTCTGCTCTGGACGTGATAATTATTTGTTCTCTCATCCCAGTAAACACTATTGGAACATTTTCTGGGGTAATTAATGAATCCCCATAAGCACACCATGGCACACCTTCCATGGAGCTGTAAACATGCATGTAACCATGCACGGCACCGCCTGAGTTAACCTGTTATATGCCATGTCTAGGCAGCTTGGCAATTAAATCCTGTTACATTTAATTTATTATAACACTATATTGTCAGCATGTTTTTATTTTTATATTTCCCTTGTTAAGGTAATTTTTTTACAATTTATATGTTTTTAAAAAAAGAAAAATTACTGTAATACTGATAGCAATTTTGAGTATTTTTCAGCAGACACAACTGTCCTAGAAATGAATATGGGGCAATATTTAAGGAATGGCTAAACTTTAGTTATGGTATTGCATGCACATCTTGCAATTGATCTGATTTTTTTTGTCTTAAAACTGTGTATAATTTCCCTTTGAAAGTATCATATTATAAACTATTATACCATGGGGGCTGCCCCAGACTCACTTTTTTGTTTTCCTTTTGTTATCTTAAACACTATCTTTTTCCCCCAGTCAGGAAAGCAGTAAATGAAAGCTAGTGAGTGAGGATGACACAGGGCTGTACAGGGAGAACGCTTCTTACATCAGTGTGTGACAATGTATAGCACTCTACAGACACTTTGGGTTTCTATTAATAGAACGCTGTGAAGTAATATTACAATTGATGTTCTTGAGCATTCGATTGGATAAGTATATAAGCAGTAGGGGGGTGGATTGATAGATCACATTAGTATTCCCGTCCTATCAAGGGGCTGTGCTGCTTACAACGTCAGGCTGCCAGATTCCCAACCTCTCCTGCCAGTCCCACCAAGCATTTCCAGAGGATCTGAAAGAGGAAACCTGGGTGAGACTAGTCCATCAGAAATCAGATCATAGATGAGATTTATTCCCCAGAGGGAGGTGTGGTAATAAACTCTGCCCTGGCTAATCATCATGGAGACCAGACTTATCCAGAGGGATTTGTGAGTGATCTGAATCCTATTCTGGATGGCAACTCTTCAATGGGAGTTCTGCTTGTGCTTTTTCTGCCTCACCAG